AAAAAAAAACTGAAATACAATGAAGAAATCAATTTAATTAAAGTACGGAACCAAGAATGAATTAAATTTAATTCTGTTCTTCTGATTTCTTTTATTCACGTTTCAGCTTCCTTCCTGTGCTTTCATCTTTGTCAGCTCTGATTAAAATTTCTTCTGGAAGATATTTCGAATGGTTTATTGCAAAATTCATCGATACACTCATTTTTAAAACATTTCGACAAATAATTAATAATTGCATTAAATAGATTATAATAGCAAATATCATTAACCAATTCAATATTCCTACAAAAATTATTTCCTATTTACTCTAATTTTATATCAATCACTTCCTTCGCTATTAACAATCAATATGGAATGTATTGCTAAATTAATTTCAATTAATGCAAATTTGTGTCTAACACTTTTATAATATATTATAATTATAATATAGTAGTGTATGTGTGTGTATGTGTGTGCATGTGTGTGTGTATGTGTGTGTACGTTTGTTTAGGCTTGTGAATGTAGTGTGTGTTATGTGTGTATGTATGTGTGTGTATGTGCGTGTATGTTTGTGTATGTTTCTGCATGTTTGTGTATGTTTGTGTATGTGTGTGTATGTTTGTAGTATGTATATCATTTGCATTCATAAAATCTCGTCGACGATATTATTGAAGAAAATGAGGGATGTAAAATTGAGAAAATGACTGAAAGAGGGGAGGGTGTAATAATTGTAATGGATATGAAAACAAGAACATTCCAATGTATCAAAAATTTATAATTGTTTCTTTCTTTCATTTTCTTACTCATTCTTACTATATAATTTGAGCGATAGGACAAACAATACTTTATGTGAAATCTCATTGACCTACTTAAGCTTTTTTTTTTCACTTCAATTATTGAGGGATTTTTTCCTCTCTCATTCTCCCTCTATCAATCCGTTGGATTCCTCAGCCTTGTCGTTCAAATTACTGTTCATTCCAATTTCAATAAGATTTCCTGTAATATGGATCACAAATGATTATTTAACATGATTTCAGCCAGTTTATTCAAAATTTTCGCTCGTTTTGTGACAACTTGAAAATTGAGCGAATACGGTGGTGGTGACGAGAGGAAGAGGTGAATGAGTGAGTATGACGGTGACAGCTACGCTTTATTCGCTAGTTATGCTGTTCATTAAAATTGTTAGTTTTCGTGAATAATTTAAATTAGATCTAATTAAATTATATGTGCTAAGGAATTATCGGGTCCGTTGTGGTCTAGTGGTTAGGATTTGCGGCTCTCACCCGCAAGGCCCGGGTTCGATCCCCGGCAACGGAATGGTTTGGCCCCATTTTAGGGGTCATCAGGTATTTCATAATTTAGATGCCTCTGGGAGAAAAACAAAATAAAGAGAAGAAATTAGAGAAGTTCCGGGCTGTTTTGCAGTCAAACTTTAATTTTCAATTGAAAATCGTGCTACATTAATTTTTAAACAATGCAAAGTGATAAAGTTAAAAGGCATAGATTAAATTTTTAAGAAAAATTCCGAAATTAATATTTCGAAGGATCAGTGGACAAAATTTAATATAATTCTTGTTTATATAGCATAATACTTTATCCGGAAAGGCAAGTTGATATGGATAAATTTTATGATAATTTAGAAAAAAGTGAGCTTGTTGGAAAAAGCTAATTATTAGTTCATAAATGCAATCACTTAGATGTGCCGAGATTCAATAACAAATGTCGGAATAATCGAGAATAGCGTTGTTGGTGAACCGACAGTGGAATGCGGTCTGGATGGTATTGAAATCGATGTGATCACTCTGAATTCATTTTTTGGCAGATTGTATGTTCAGGTATTGTATGGTAAACATTCAAATTTCTCCAAGGCATTCAAATTTCTTCAGATATTATAAGTTTAATATTTAAATTTGTTCCATATCAATTACTCCATATAATGTTTAGACTTATTTGATATTAATTGATTTGTCTAATCATTAACTATTATATTATATGAATATAATGATAATATTTCCCGAGATAGCCCAACAAATGAGAAGTGGAAAAGCATTCTTTAAAAATCGACATATTTTGAACAATTATCATCTCTATTATTATACCATATGAATATAACAGTTAATACTTCTCGAGATTGAACAATTATTGCTATCTTCTCTAAAACTTAGCTATTCAAACAAACAATGCTAAAATTTTAAGGGTGAAAGTGATGATCCAAATTGTGTAACATCACATTATGAGGATGAGCAGCAACAATTGTACACTCTCGATAGAACAGCAAACGAGCAACAGTTAAAATTTTCGCTGAAATTTGGTGAATGCAATATGCGTCGTCAGCGTACGGTATTGTTTAGCTTTTTTTTTTCTTTGAAAAAACTTTATTTCAACAATTTTGTTTTTCTCAAATTCAGAAACTGTAAAAGAAGACGAAAAGGAGGTGAGGAATTAATGATGGAGAAGTAATCAATGTGGCAATATAACCTAAATTCACTTACCTATCGATCATTTACTCATTTATTTCTGTTTTTTCCCCCTTTTTTTTAAAAAATTTTAAAAAATAATTTAGTCGAAGACATTTTATTATAGCAAATAAAAGTATTTGTTCGTAATTTACTCAAAAATTTCAGTGTAACTAATGATTTTGCAATAATTAACTTGCGAGAAGTGTTTCAAATTTAACTTCAAATTACAAAATTTATCATTTTCAAAATTGCCTTTTCGCCGCCAAAATTATTCCTTTTTTTTCTTCTATTTTCAAAGACTTTTTAAGCATCAAATAAATTGTGAATTGCAATTAATTGACATTTTTCTTTTCAAATTATGCTTCAATGTAATTCCAAATTTAATTACTGTTAATACGATTTCAAATTTTAGCTGAATCCACGTGGTGTTGCTTACACATTTACGCTGATTGTATCATTCCATCCGGTATGATATCATTTTAATTCTTCCTGTTTTTTAAAATATTTTTTGGAGTTTTGAAAATTTTTATTG